CCAAAACGAGTCTGCAGCGGCCCGGGAATGTTGACACTCCATGAATGAAGGCTTCAGGAGCCACTAGATACCAGGCGCATGGTCCACGTGGTGCATTTTTCTCATTCCTAGCTCCAGGTTGCTTTTTTGGTCAACTCCCAGGGACTGGAGCAATGTGAGTCAACAATCGGTGAATGCAAAACCTTATCCCAGACACGACTGACAGGACTGGCATATTTAATCATACTGTATACTGATTATATTTACATACCTTGGGATCAATTGTAGGTAAATATTCCAGTCCGCTGGGGAGTGTATGGGTATTTATTCCTGGCCAAGTTCAGTGTGCCGCCGCCGTTGTCATGATTTGAAGGGGGTGCCTAGTCAGGCTATGAGGCTATGGGTGTGTCGAGCATCGGCTCGTTGTTTTGAAATGCTTCAACTTGTCCTATGCACTTTGAGAGCAAAAGATCCTTTCACGATTTTGAGGAAAGATCCCAAGGAACTTCATCACGCCATATCGTGTTCACTAGTTTGTCATTGTGGGAGTGCAAGGTTTCTGGTGGTGACACAGACTAGTTGCACGCCAGAAGGATAGAATAGGACTACTGTACTTGCAAGCCAGGACTTATAATACCTAGCGCATTTCCAATGGTTGTCCAATGGAGACCTAAAATAATTCCCTAGGGCTCAAACCATATCCTGAGAAGGTGGTTAGACCGCAAATATCCACCCTATCCACCTTCTCAGGACGTAGTTGGAGCCCATTGGTGACCCTGAACGGAAGCAGCTGGTACTCAGCGTTGGGCCCTTCAGGTGAACAAGATTGGACCTGACCCTCATCAGTCTGAGTAGGACACGTTTTACAATTCGCTCCTTCCGTCCGATCTTGGCAAAATCCAAGTGAGATACCAGTTTGCCGCCAGGGCTTCTACCAGCTGCCGGTGGATCCTGGCCTACTGGCGTGGCTGGGGTTCCTGGACGCGGCGAAGAGCCGACGCCGAAGAAGAAGAGGTTCGATTCGCCAGGTCCGGTGTTTGACTAGCTTTCACCAGTGGTGTACGTCGTGTGGAGCTTGTATGATATGACATACATGATGGTGCAGGTGTTTGTATGATACTCTTGCTCACAACGATAAATCATGATAGTATATAAATAATCGATATGTATAACATGTGTGTGTTTCATAAGATTGCTCGATGAGAAGTCTGGAACGCCACTGAGAGTCATGGGCAGCCCTGACAACTCTCTGTATTTACTGTGGTTTCCCCTTACTGTATCTTCAGTGGTGGAGGATCAATCCCCTGATGATCAGCAGTGGTTGAGCCTGTCGGCTCAAAAATATGTAAGACCCGGTCAGATCAGCAGGTCATAGCATCTTAGTTCGGGCAAACACTGGGATGGGCATTCACACTAAAGAGAAAAAACACAACGTCGGACCATCCACAGACTTTGTCCGTTGACCCTGGTCAGTTATTAGACTCAAACAGCACCCGGGTTTCCCTCGTTGCACCAAGTATGTATATATATATAATATATTATGGATGTATTCCAGTCTCATCGAGTGTTTGGGACATGCTCTTTGGGTCTGGGTCTTTTCCATTCCGCCGTAGTCGGGTTCAAACTGTCTCCCTTTTTGAGGAATCAGCCCCATACTAACCATTACCATCGATTTGGATCACTTTTAGAGTTTTACACTTCCCGAAACAATCATGGAAGTGTAGTTTACCATGTCTTTGGTATTCGGAAAACAGTCTTAGACAAACACAGGGCCATGCCATCCACTTCCATGTTGGAGGGATGGTAGTATAGGGTGTAGCCCATTACCTAGTAACAGTCTGTAAATAAGAATTATATAACTATTTTGGAGAAAGGCCTGCGACCTAACCATCATAGACCCCAAATAGACCAAAATCAACAACCCATTGGGTCACAGGGTCTCCCTACTAAAATACCCACCCAAATACTGTACTTGTATCTTCCCAAAGCATCTATGACATACCAGCAGTCCGTTGCTTCGGGGTGCTTTGCTTTGGGTCCGTTGGCATTCCGGGACTCAACACCGCCCCCGGGTACTCCTGGGTATGTCAAGAAAAACCTGTTCGGTATAGGTTCGCTAGCTTGGGGAGGATGGTGAACATGCAAAACATGTCATCATATGTCATCATATGTTATTTTATATAGATAGTACATATAAACATAGTATAGTCATTGATATACCTGTCAAACCTGAGTCTGACCATTTGGGACCACCCACCACCCTGAGTCCAACCCGGTCGCCCAACTGGCGAGGCGAGGCGCCGAGAACGCCGTGGATGCCGTGCGCTGGGGCCGTGAGGCGCGGAGCGGAGCGTTACGCGGCGGAGGCCCACGACGTACCGGGGGTGATGGCGCGAATGGACACCCCTTAACCATCCTTAAGCTCTTCAGGGGCTATTTTTTCTAAACACACCCCTTACCATGCTATCCCGACCCAAGTCCAGGGGCTATTTGTTCGAAACACCCCTTTTTGTTGCTATCCTGACCCAATCGTCCAGCCTGAGCCAGTATGTAAAACCTGGTCCCTTTACAAGCTGGCATAGTGAGTGATCGATGGGTGCTTTTGTGCAGACACGACCCGGACTGCCAGTTCGGACTGCCACAACCGACCTCTGGAAGCACCTCAACTGATCGGTTATATATGCCAGTCCGAGTGTCTGGGATATGTATTACCAGAGTCTTCCAAGCGTTGTTGTTGTTCAATCTTGCATCGATTTAAGTTTCAATGACTGTTCGGAAAAAAAAGCACCTGCCATGGCATGTCAATGAAAAGCCAACTGTTTTTTTTTCTGTTGAATCTTAGTATGTGTTTCTCGCATTGCGTTGCTTCCTATTGCCCAAAAGCTGAATCGGCTTCTGGCGACTTTTGGGACGCCTCAACAAAATGGCCACTTAGACAGCGGAGCAAGCTATGCCAAAACTTACAGTGAAACGGCACCTTTGAAATGGAATATACTGTACTTTTTTGTGACGGCGAACGTACTTACATCTGTGTTGTTTCTTGTTTAACGGCCAAAAACATGACCCCGTCAAAGGTCCATGATGATGTAGCAGGGGGTGTCTTGACTGCTTCACACGGTGTCCTTGGGACGGCAGTTTCTGACTGGTCGGACGGGAGAAACCACGTTCCAGTTCCACCGACTGGACGTGCCGGACACTTCCTTCGACCAGTCGCGACTCCTCATCGCTCCTGGACTCTTTCACGTGCATGTTTTGGAGGGACAGTTGCCTATGTTTCATATATTACATCAAATGTGTCTGACAATAAGAGCCATAATTAGGGTTACAAGCTAAAGTATACCAAAGCAAGGTTGTTGTTCCATGAATCATGAACAAAAGTATTTGTGGGGTTTTGTAGGTATATAGTTAAAGGTCATTCCAGACCACGCACCGCAAACAGTTTTTTAGTTTTGTTTTTTGCAGCTGAACTGGGAGAGCCCTGGGCATGACTCGCAGCAAAAGGAATGAGAGCCCTTGATGTTCCCAACTGCGTGTCGCACAGAGCCCTCCGGATTCTCGTGTTTCGGTGAATACGTATATCAGCATGGTCGAACCGGAGGCGGGCTGTAGCGGCTAAAGCCGGGATCTCCAAGACCAGCGGGCTGTGTCCCTGTCGTGGAGAGGATCGCCACCAGCGGTGGATAGACCTTCTTCAGTCCGAATGGATGGTGGAACAGTCCTTTTCCAGGCTTTCCCAGCGGTGAAGCTTTCACAAATGGAGAAGTGTCCGGTTACACCAACTGAACTGTTGCGGATGGTCATGATATGTCATGATGGTCAGCCAGCTACCCCCCCCTTCTCGAGTCCCTGGATTCCAAATACCTCTTGGCAGATGCTATCGAGTTTTCTTAGGCGGATCTACATGCGCAGTCGCCACACCTGCACAAGGCGACGTCCTCCGTGCTCAAACTTTGAAGTCGGTCGTGGAGTTGTTGTGTTTTAAATATCCATGGTTTTGCTGATCAGGTGATGATTTTCCTTAAATTGGATAAAGTTAATCTAATCCCCTTCTGGAAATATTTGTTTTTATGTTGTCCAGGTTTCTTAAGCAAATCCATGTGTGTGGAATAGTTACCTACATTATAGTGTCATAAATGGAGTACATGTATGTACCTGGACTGTCAAGTACCCTAGAAAATAGGGCATGACCCTATGAAAACAAGTACTGTACTAATATTCTGAAGTACTTTGCCACTCCAGCTAGTTACATACATTTGCCCCATTTGTGGGTCTAATGTAAGCAACTATTCTGCATATTAAGGCCAAGGTTTTCATCTGAGTGCTTTAGCAGGGCCGGTCAGTCGATCCGACCGATCTACGGGGTCGATCAGTCGACTAAAACATGTGTCACGTGGACCTTCGTTCCTGTACGGTTTGGGCTGGAGACGAAGGTCCAGAAGTTAGCTTGCCAGTCTGCCCGAACCTAACTGTCACGTGAAGCCGACAGACCGATCAACCTTCGGACCAAGGACTCTGAAGAGCAAACCATAGCAAACCTTCCCAAGGACGAAGGACCCCAGTCACGTTCGCACCAGAGATCGCAGCTGCGGATCTGACAGGTTCGTAAAGCACACCTTTCGTGGGTCAGACCAATCCCCTAACAGGGCTCCTGTTCCACATGGTTCGGTGGTTGGGGTGCCACGTCGTCCCTACCTTCGGATCTGGACTTCCTCATCAATTCATATGAATTCGGCATGCTGCCGAAGCACTGGGGTTCGGAAGCTGGTTTGATGGCCAAGATGCGATTTCCAGTTCCTCGTCAAGGAACCCAGCGATGGAACCCGTTCAGGCACCGGACTGGTCGCCTCAAAGAACCTGGGTTGCACGGCTTGATAGTTTTTTGAAATGCTTAGGAAGTCCATTGCTAACCCCTTCGATGGGGCAAGTTAATCGCTCCAAAAACATGTGACTTGCCGTTGGTGACCCAAAACGATTTGCCATGTCGTTTGATCATGTGAGAAATCCGATCATCACCGCCTCGCAGCCATTTGTGTGTCACATCTGTAGCGGGCCGCAGACCTATTTCCGAGAGGAGATGTTCCAGCCCGATCCACACGCGACCACCCTGACAGTCAAAATGTCCAAGAAGATGACTTACCAGGACGGGAGACGGGAAGAGACAGAGACTAGTGTGGTCGAGAAACTCACAGCCATCCCTAATTACCAGAAACTCTTCCCTATCCCAACTGATCCTGTTTTTGAGGGGCCCCAATAAGTTATATATATATATATTAGTATGTATTAGTCCTTATTGGAAGCTTTTCGGCTGAGTTTTGCCTCGCATGGATCGGTGGTTCTGCTGTTCAACGAATCTTCCGTTCCAGTCCTGGACCGGATGGAGTTGATCTTGGTGCAGGCACTATAATTACTTTTCAATGCTGTTACTAGGTGGACCAACACCAACTTAAACCTTCGCGTTTTTTGTTTTTTTTATTTATTTTATTTCGATCTCATCACCAGTGGGTCATAGCGACTGTCTTGCCATTCGACCTGTCATTCTCGAAGTGCACTGTCATTTATCGAGTGTTTTTTGATGAAAGAAAACAATAACAGAAAACATTTTAACTTTGTGTTCATCTTCATTTGTTAATGTCTATTTTTTATTCAGCCAGGCTGAACTCTTTGCGGCTTCTTGTCATCTCTTGTACGTCCCACCTCGGAAGGTATGATTTAGGGAGTCTGTCCCCCCCTGGTGGCCCTCACGAACTCAGAATACACCGAACCCCCCCCGCGTTCGGTGCACCGAACGGAGGTATAGCCGTGCGGACGTGCCGTGCGACTCCAGGAGCTCTTGGTGATTTTAGACGACTGCTGTACTCTGGCCGTGCCAGAGCTTCCACAGGCGTATGACTTTGTGCACCTCCCCTGGAGGCTTTGACGGCAGGTCGGCAGGTCGACCGAGGGCGAGGTGGTTCGGTTTCGACGTGCAGGTTTCTCGCACGTTGGATCGCAAAAATGTTGCAATGGTGAGTATTGTTTTGGACAACACTCCTGAATGATCTAGATGGCTCCCCAAGAACTCTTCATGGGCAAGTTTCCCTTAAGGTATCTCTTCAGCGTCCCTTTAAAGAAAGACATAATTCAAAGGGAGAGGCAACTGGAACCAGCAAAAAAAACAAACAGGACATCAACAAAATATAATCAGGAAGTCAAAGGGATCAACATATATAGGCTCAAACTGGATCAGAAAGATGCATCAAAGGAATTCAATAGACCAACGGATTTCAACTGGATAGAACCAAAAACCAAATCAAAGAAGATCACGAAAAGACACGAACACTACCTCTAAGGGAATCAGATCAAGGTCAAAAGGACGAATCAAAGGGTTTCAACTGGAAGCAGGAGGCAATCATCAGGGCTGCTCGTAGGGGTGCACCCCCACATATATAGCCAGATCAAAAAAAGGCACTTGGACGGTCGAAGAAAAGAAACACAACGCAATGTTTGAAGTCTAGATTCTAGATTTCAAAGGCTGTTAGACATAGATTTGTTAGACCAAACGACCAAACGACCATAGGATCGAAGTCTGGGGAGTGATTTTTCTTCTGGTTTCCGCCCGCGAATGTTTGCAGACAATCACCCTAGGTCTTCAAAGGAGCAGAAATAAGTGCTCAACCCACTTATTTCTGCTCATTTGAAGATCTAGGACGTTGTTTCAGAGAGGCCACCAGTCACTAGTCCACCGAGTTGGGTTCCCGGGTTGCTTCGGTTCGTGGGCGGTTCAGGATTTTCGGGGGGAGGTCTTAAAGACATTCCGAGAGAGAATCTTCGATATCGATGAACGATGGTGGATCATGATTATAGATGATTTTATCCCCCAGAGTTGCGGCACTCAACGTGCTTCAGAGTTGAGTTTCAGACCGTATGGGTCCACATACCGGACCTGAGATGAGCAGGGAGACTAGCCATGGTCGTGGAGGACCTAGTCAGTCATTTCCTTCCTTTCGTTTCGTCCTCCTCGTCCCCCGATTCTCGACGTCATCCGTGCTTTCGTCCCAGGAAGAAGCTGGCTGTGGTGAACTTTGTCTCGCCGAAGATTTGCACACGATGCTCCTGGATCCTTCTTTTGATGTCTCATGAGGAGATGGACGATGAGAAACGCCGCGTTGCCGGACGTCCTTCGGCCCCCGAAGCAACTGCTAGTTGTGTTGGTTGAGGGTCCAAAAGCCTAGTTGTGAGGGTCAAATCACGTCAAAACCCTAGCTATATGAGGTCCAATGAGCCATGTTTGTAGGATCCTCTTGGGGTTCAGAAACAGACGTCTTGATTAACACATTTAATATTTCATCGTAGTGTGTGTGTGTGTGTCCCACTTGTAACAGCGACAAAAGACTAGGTGTCGGCCTTTACCAAGCATCATCATCCACTTGGGCCCGGGAATGGGATTGACGTCTAAAATTGAACCCTTGGAACTGTTTGATTCGTCCACCCAGGTGAAAGCTGTGCATACGACATAAGGGTGATACAATGATACAATGTGATACTACCGATCTGCAAAGGCATACAGGTGGGCTGGCCAGCTATAGCTTTCCTCAGGCCAAATCACTCAACAATCATGTTATAGGCGATTTTCCATTAACAACTCTGGCACAGTTTCCTGCTGGTCTCCCATGGTCTATCGCGCTGGGGGTCGAGACACGTCGGGACCTGACGCGTCGGGGCCTCGCCAGGAGGGCTGTCCGGTTGTTGGCTTGAAACAGGCTGATCATCAAGGCTTTGTGGAGAACCTTGCAGCTCGGCCCTGAAACGAAAAAAAGTCGGTCGAAACGGGCGTGTTTGTATCGGCGTGGAGCATGCTGTAGACGTGTCTTCGCGGTGTTGGTCGCCTTTCACCTGCCAGCTTTCAAGGTCTGTCATCTGGGGGAAGCCCCCGAAAGTGTGACCTCTTTGTGGTTCTTTCTAAAGAAAACCTCTTTATCGTCCGATCTCCTCAGCATCCCCATACCAAACCCAGAGTCCACCGGTCCAAGTCCGATCCCGACACGTGGCCCCAGGGGTCCGATCCCTCCGACGTGTGAGTCGTCGCCGGGCCCAGGCGTTGTGCCAGGCACGGGCCAGGGAATCGGTACACTATCCGGAGCCGATGGTATTTGCAGGTGCGGCATGGACGGAAAGAAGGGCCACTGTGCGGGTGATGGGCCGTATGTGGTGTGTGTCTGGTGGGCCAGATTGAAAGAGGGGCCGAAACGAAGAAGGGGGCAATAGTGGAGTTTTGAGTTGATACTTTGGGAGTTTAGCAGTTTATAGTTTAGTTATATAGCTTGAGTTGGGGGCAATCGCTCTCTTCGTCTTTGATATGGTCGGCTGGTCCACCCGAACAACGGTCTGGTTCGGCGAATCCATGCGAGAACGGAGCGCGTCGACGGAATCCCCAGCCCAGCAGATAGAAGAACGATAACATGCTTTCACTGGGCCCAATTCGTAATATGTCAGCATATAGTACTGTGACCCCAAGATAGATACATGACAAGGTGGAAAGAGGTATACTCACCAGGTGTTGCGATCTGTTTCGGTCGAAGCAGTTGGTGCGTGCCGTGGCACCGCCGTACCTCGCCACGCACCGGCGTACCTCAGCACTCAGACAGCACAGCACAAGTGGCTCCAGTAGCACGCACGGAAGCACTCAGACAGCCTGCAGGTCATGGTCTTCCCTTCTCCATGGAGCTGCGGGTGAAACCCATCAAGACCCAAACAGGTGGGCGCAGAGAAAACATGTGTGACGCGTGCGACGAGCGCATGTCCCACGACGTGTCCCACGCGTTCGCTCCGCCCATGGTCTGGTGTGAGGATACAAATCACCCGGGCCGAAGCTGGGAGGATGGGAAGAAGCCTTTTTTGTGTGAGGTATGTCAGGGTGTCTGCCACAAATCGGGATCCACAGCTCCCATCTCAGAAGGAACTTGCTCCGTCGTGGGGCCTACATACAGGTGTCGTCTCTATATATATTATGTGGATCATGAGTTTTCCTCTCATACGGCGAATCCAAACACGGTGATGGCCGTGAGCATTGCGTGGGGTACTGTAGGCAAACACTGGAAAATCACCACCAAAGGATGGCCATCATGTGTACACATGTGAATCACCAATCTTGTAGCATATCTATCACCCGAACTGGGTGCGGGCAGATTCTGAAAAGTTCGGGGACCAGCTGGATGGCCACACCCCGTGTGGTCACTGGATGTCACTGGTATTGAGGGATACTTGTGGTATCACCCCTCAGTGACTCTCGTCCTTGGTCGTTGTGCAGCGTAGGTCGCAATGTCCTCCTGGCTATGGAACGGGGTCGGGCAAAATACAAAAAGATGCCCGAGACAGGCGCCGGGACACGGGACAAGACAGGGAGGTGGTTTCGTTGGGTGGAAGACAAGGCAGTAAATTGGTCTTCCGCCAAAACAGAGACTGGCTTTGGGAGAACTTGATGGTCCTGGAGCTGCCAGGGTGAAGGGGAGCATGATGGAGCCAGCCAATGATCTGGTTTTTGGGGCGGACCATATCCGAAGGTCCTGCGTCCAGGCCCCCATGCTCCGCCAACCGTCCCGAGCGCTGTTCCTGGATGCATCCCATGTGAGAAACAAGTACTACACTGCCTGGCCCCTCGGAAGACCATTTCCTGGCCTACCTCCGTTTCGGTTCGGTGGTTAGGGTGGATTTTGGGGGTCTAACCACCGAACCTGAGGAGATGGTTGGAGCCCTATAGGTATACAAACAGTTGGTATTTCACTTCTATGATTATTTCATGTACTTTATCGTTTATACTGTGAAGGGGGAATGTGACATTGAAATGGGAAGGCCTCAGTGGTGCAATATGTTGTTTTGTTCTTTTTTTGGATGCCCCCCCGGTGTCCTGATTTGTCCGAATTCAAATGTTAATGTTTCACACCCAAATCTGCTCGTTTGGTTTTTCCCGATCGCTAGAGTCGATCGATTGTCAGAGCCTCCCGCGATCGATGCTGATCCGATAGGACTCCCAGAGAAACGAATCTCCCAAAATACTGGCAGATGGAAATGAGGAAGTGGGTGGCGCCTGGGAGGGACCTGTATACCCAGACTCCATGGGGCTGCCAGTCCGGACTGCCTTCAAAACGGCCAGGGGTGGTTGCCAGGGGGTCTGGCTGGGGTAGGCAGTCCGTCTGCCAGTCCCATGGGTGGTCCCTGCGACCTGAAGCGACCGGAATCGCAACGACCTCGGTCATCAACGAGGTTAGGAGGCCCGGGTAGCTCATTCGCTTCATTTCGGTCTATACTGAACAAAAATGAAGAAAATGACATCCAACAAACCTATAGATGTTCCATATGCAACTGTGCTATGTACATGACTGGTGGTTTCGGGTCTATGAATGTAGACCATAGCCACCGTAGCCATGCGGTCATCACAGGAGCCTTTCAACGGGATATGGAAAGCCTGTGTTCAGACCAGCAAGTTTGCACCTCGCAAGCGTGCCATCTTCCAATCTCGGCGTGTGTCGATCGGCGCTTCGCAGATCTTCCAATCCTTCGAGATGGTCAGATCTTTCATTTCTAGAGGCCTTTGCCAACATGTTGAAAAGCGAGCGCGGTCAATTCGGGGATGCAAGACTGAAGGTGTAGAAAAGACCTGGGCACTGCGAGAGAAGGACGATGCATGACCAATCACCTAACCTGAGGTTCGGCACGACGGGATCCTTAGGGAATACATGGAGTGTTTGGGCAGCCCAGTCACCCCGATTCCGGGCTCCGGGCTCGTCCCATCTCCGGGCTTCGGGTACGAAGGACACCGTCGGTCCACTAGGTCCACTAGGTCAGCTGTGTTTCGGTCGGTCCTGGGAGATCAACACGTCCGGAACCTATGGTCGTGACACATGTGGCACCCATCCAGACTAGGATGGAAAGACGGATTTTCCTTTAGCTGAAACAGTTGTTTGTTATTAGATTTCATATCCTCCATATGAAATGGGGAGGGTGTACCCTCCATATTTTGTTTGATAACCCCTACCCAAATTGCCCAGGGGGGATGTTTTCAGGGTCCTAACGTGAGTCTTCGACGGCCTTGTTGTTTGGATCTACTTTTCAATGGGCTGAAGGCACTTGGACGAAGTTTGGCATGGCACAATGGTGCCGGGGAGATCCACTTCTCGACACCTTCTCAACCCATCACCTGGATGTGGGTCAACAGGCGCCTGTCTCTCGAAAACCACAGCTTGACCTCTTCAGGCGTCATTATGTTCATTTTCCAGGGTCAACAGGGGTGACACCATGGTTGCATGGTGATAGAGATCGTTTTCACGCGAAAGGATCCACGCGAATGGATCCACGTCAGATGGTGAGTTGGACCCACCTGAAATGAAAGGACGGGGATCCATATGTGCTAAGTGCTGGTAAGGGGCGTCCATTCACCCCATGGGCTCCTACGACCACCCTCTATGGGGTGTCTATAGGATTCTATAGGTGGTCTTGCCCAGATGCTCCATGTATGGAACTATGGAACTATGGCCTATGTACATGACTAGTGGTTCTTTGTTTCATGTAGGCCATAGCCATGCGGTCATGGGAGCGTTTGGGTAGCTATTGGTTGGGTAACAATCCCAGACACTTCATGTATGCCATATGTGCCTATATTGACCCCGCAAACCACCCCGATGTAGGCATATATGGCATACATGGAGTGTCTGGGAATTGGTTTTCACTGGAATTCATGATACGATCCGCACCCCTCGTGCACCGTGCTCCGAGCTTAGACGCCTTACGCCTTAGCGTTGGGCTGCTATCCACCGAACGCCTGGGACCCTGGAGATGTCCAAGACCGGCGATCGAGAGGAACATCAGCTTGGATCCACCGAGACAGAAGGAGTCATCCGATTTGTACCGCAATGTACTTTTGGTGGACCGTCGACCATGACATCGCACAACGGTCCCTAGCGGGATGCCTTTTTGGTAGACGATTTTCAAGCGATTTGAGCGCCCATCTCCTACGGTGTGAGCGGTATATAGGCTTTCAGCTTCCTATGCAGAAAGCCTCCCAGTATTGAACTCCTGTTGAACATCAGCAAAACGGACTGATTAACTGATTATATAATATATATATATACTGCATATACATATTAAAGACACACACACACATGCATAAACACTTTGTTTGCTGTTCCTCTCCTGATCATGAGCAGAATATGCTTTGGGATACCTTGGACTTGGCCTCAGCTCCTTACCCTGGACTGCCAGTGGCTCCTTAGCTTGATATATTGGGATCTCCCCCAATACCACCCTGAACTTCAAGAATTCTTTTTGGGGGAGCCTTATCTCACATGTCAATGCACCAAATGGATTGAGCTCAAGGTAGAGTCTAAGCTGGAATACCTTGCTTACAAGGGCCCATTGTTTGTCAGGTCGAGTCATGTTCTACGAAGTAGCATCAAGCTTGAACGCGGAGCCCACAGCAGGCATTCCTCTAAATCAACCACTTGAGTGATCTATCCCTGTCGCAGAATGAGACCTTTCATCGCTTTGCCACACGAGGGATGGGCCGCTTTGATCGTGACAGCCCTTTTTGAACGGCGAACAGCAAAAAACTCGAGGGATTTTACTTTGGAGAAGAGGTGAAGAGATGTGTGCTGAGCAAACAGCAAAGATGAAGACATGTGGGAGGGCCATCCCGTTGTTTTCTGTGCTTTTGACGGTCCATTTTGGTACTCTAGATAGGACATTCTTCTCTTTTTTGGTACTCTAGACAGGGGGGGTCAAGAATACGGAGGTGTTTCTCGTGTTGACCCCAATTAGAAGTTGTCGGGGACCGGGCATCGCCGCACGGCCTCACAGCTTGGACCCCCAAGCGAGGGCACAGAGGACACGACGAACGGAGCATGTCGGGCATTCCTACGAACGGAGCGATCGATCGCTACGAACGTGCTACGAACGGAACAAAAAGCTACGTTCGGGGCTCCTGGCATCGCTACGAACGGAGCAAGAAGCACGTGTTTGTTGGTGTACAAACCTACCTCCAAACCTCCAAAATGTGTTGTTGCTGAACACTTTCAGTATATAGGCACTTAGATCCACTCAGACTCTCCATGCAACTCGAGTTGACCTGTTCGTACCTCGGGAAATCGAGGAGAAGTATAGTTTCATTCTCTAGGGTACGAACGAAGTCGGAAGTCACATGTCGTGGTGGTGATTAGTCCCATTCAAGGGGTGTGGATGTGGATAATGGGCACCCCGACAACCTCCATGGATAGCACCCTGACATGGGACTGCTGAGCGTTACTATTTCGATTCCAGTTCCACTCGTTTGATGGAAGATGACCTACTCAGTGCCTCTCCACTTGATACCTCCTCCTCTCCGAAATCCCCTGCGGTGGTCGACCTGGAATCCCCCCACTGAACAACCACAAGGTCGTGTAGGCAGAAATTGGTTTGATTTCGTTTGGAGAAGCAGCTAAAAGTATTTGGAAGAAGCTAAGACCTATAGCAAATCATCAGTTCCTACTCGTGCTTTTTTGCGCATTCCTTTACACATTATTACTGACCATATTTTATTGATTTCAAAGGGGCAACGGGGTTCCAGGTCGTTCTCGGTTTGAGGCGTTTGAAGGCAGGCCGGAGGCCGAGCTATATATATAGTGATCAAAAACCATGGAAAAACAATAACAGGTCCAGAGCGGGACCTCTCCACTCGTTTCGCCAAAACAAGACTTGGCGTACGGAAAGCGTGACGGTGATTGGATCCTGGAGGAAAGCCAAGCGTGCGCCGCGGACGGCTCTCCTTGGCCCACCGTGGACCTCGGCTTTCCCCCCCCGTGTGGGCAGCGTGCTGTTCGCGGTTCGCGGAGCGAACACAAGCACCGTGCCGCGTGCGCCGCGCGCTACGCGGGTCGGATCGACAACACGGCGGCACACTGCGATGTGGTCTGAAGAGTTTGGAGCTTGGATGGCGGTCCCCAAAATAGATGGACCGCACAGGTTTTCGCTCTATCCTTTTGAACTGCGCTCTATCCTTTTGAACTGAGCTTCTGTTGATTTGGGACCTTCATCAGATCGGATGATCTTATGAAGTTTGGATCCTATGAGATCTTGGCATTTGTTGTTGTTGTTTAAACAATAAACAAATGATGTCCGCAGCATTTTCACCATAATGTTCGTTTGATGATAGTTTGTTATGATTGCGTTCCTGTATCCAATATAATTAGTGGGTCATAGGCATAGGATGAATTTGGAATGATTTGGAGTTGAATCAGTGTCATGTCCCGAGGGCTCCAACTACCTTCTCAGATCGGTTGGGAGAAACTCACCGTGGGTGAATTGAAGAACCCATGAAGAACCCGTACTCTTGAGAGCTCGAAAAAGATAGCACAAACACACATGAGGCTTATTTATTTGGGTCTATCCGAACTTACCGGTAACAGTCAGGAAAAAGGAACTATCACTATTTTAGAGATGTCAGCCTGCAACCTAACCATCACCATTCACTGGGCCCTGGTAGTAGGATAGACCCAACCTATTTATATAAGTAACCTATACCAGGGTTGGTCATCTCAGTCCTCTCTCTATGGCTTTCTGGTAGGTTGACCTTATAGTAACGATAGTAAGTCGATTCCGCTGCTGTTCTTCGGTCAAGCAACGCTTCGCGGTATCAATCCACCGCCATGGCCTGCTTCATTTGGACCCAAGACCCCGATTCTTCAATCAAGACCAGCCCCAGGACCCGAGAAACTGGGGACTCATGGAGTGTTTGCGGCTTCAACATCCACCTGATACTCCTCTTAACTCAAAACGTGTCAAAACCCGGCGACCTGGGTTTACCAAAGAACATGAACAGAATGGGCAACCTACAGGAGGTCAATCTATCCTGGTGAAAGGGGATCTGGCTGCCATGACCCACAGCCATACAGTTCAATGGGACGTCCAGACTGCCAGGATGAGAGTGGTGAACTCACAGACACATGAGACCTGATCCTGAGGTTAACCACCCCCCCACGGGCACAAGTTGAGGTGCTTATATGTCGATGGAAAATAGATCGTCAGGGGGGGTCGATCAACCAACCGAACTGGATGGCGCTGGCCGATGTATGCCTGGTTTTGCTGGTGAATTTGTTGTTATCTTCCCGAATGGGTCAATCCACTTCTGGGGGAAGGTTCTTTTTTTTCCGGTTCCTCAAGCAAATCCCATGTATGTCATATACCCAGACACGACCCCAGGGACTGCCATATATGCCTATACATTGACCCCCCTGGCACCACCCCAATGTAAGCATCCCTAGGGATCCAAGTACCTTCTCAGAAGGCACTTGGACCCTCCACAGCCACCCCAGTCCCACCTTCTGAGAAGGTACTTGGATCCCTAGGGCATATATATGGCAGCCCCATGGAGTCGTTGGGATCCCTTCCCGAATCGAAATTTCGGCGACAGACCTCGCGCCAGACCGAGCCTCGCTCCAGATCTCTTCCCAATTCGCCGGTTTCTCCAGATCTCGGCGGTTTCGCGAAGACACCTGGAATCAACGGAGGTTTGGGACGTTGCTCCCGAACGCCGGTGCTGGTGATATATGATGTGTGTGTTCTACAAGCACGGCGACATGCATTTTTCCCCTAGTGCTCCGCACTAAGGGGTTCTTACGGTAAGAGTTAAGCGGGTTTAGATCAGGGTTCG